GCCATAGAATCGGGCCCCTGCTAGGCTTAGACCTGTGCTTTTTGAACAAACATGGCAAAAAGTGGTTGGAACGCCACCACCAGTACCTACCCAGGCTTGCCTGAAAAAGAGTTTGCGTGCAGTTTCTACTGCGCTGGGGTGCCTATGATCTAGAAGGAGACTTGAGTGTGCAGGGTGCCCGCCGCCCTCTCCAAAAGGGTTTTCGTGCGGAGCGAATATTCATGTTGAGAGGTCAAACCACACCTGCACAGCGTTTCCGTAAATGCACACAACTGGGTATACCAACCTCTTCGCGTACCGCTCGATTACCTATCTTTGGGCGTTCCTATCAGCTTGGGTTACACAGCCCGTGCACTGACTGGTAAATTTCCTCATTTACCCGAACGCTTGTATACGGTGTAGCTCTCGCAACCGGGAAAATGCGCTAAGCTCGCATCCGGTGGTGTAATTACGTACTGCGTGCGATTCTGACACCGTTCGCAAGACTGGTCTCGAGCTCCAGATTGGCTGAAAGGTGGCTTAAAGGACGCCCCAAGTAGCGCTAGCTACACATGTTGATGCGAACTCAAAGTTAGTAGGCACTCATCCCGACCAGGCATCCAATCGGGAGAAGTGGTGTCGCGAAATAAGAAGAGCGGACCACCGCACAGAACGCGACAAAACGGAACCTAAGAATAATCAAAAATCTTTGGTTCGCAAGCGGCCATACAACGTGGACATTAAACGTATTACAGTCAGGGCATGTCCTGTCGCAAGAAAAAATTTCCGGAAATTACGACCCTCTCCCCTTCATTCCCTCCTCTGATGTTAACCCTTCTCTTCCCCCATTCTACCTGCCTGCCACTTCCCTGATTTTCTTCCCAACTCCCCACCGCTTTTCCTGGAGTTTCGCGAAAGTTTTCTACATTTTCCCCGAAATTTTGCTGTGAAGGCGGAGGGGGGAAAGTATATTGCACAAGTAAAACGGGAAAAAACCGCGAAAGTCGACAGCAAAGAAAAATCCTTCCCCAGGACCGCAAATTTCTCTCTCCTCGAAGGCGAAGACGACCTTCTCCCTCTTCCAGCCAGAGGCGGAAAACTCACCCATGCGCGTATGTGGGGCGGGTTTTTGACGTCACCGCGGCGGCAGGGCGGAGCGAAGCGGCAATGGCCTGCCACTGTGCTCCAATCAGCAGCCGCTTTTGTGTGGAAGGAAAAAGAGGGAAAAAAGAGAAAGAAAAGAGGATTGAACAGGATGCTTATAGACGAGTTAGCGATGGTGGTGAGCAGAGAAGAATACAGAAAAGCCGAGTATCAGGGCGAATTACTTCAGTCAATGGCGAAACTGGCAAGATAGTCGCCTTCGAGTTCGTGATAAGTTGAGGACGAGAAGGGTCTGGCAAGTCGTCATCAGTTGGTTGTGACCTTATAACGTTCACGTAGAGCTGTTTTCGTAGTTGTTGTAGTCGAAGAGTACTATGTCGCCAGTTTCGCAATTGGCTGAAGTAATTCGCCCTGGTACTCGACTTTTCTGTATTGTGTGCTCACCATTCATCTATGCATCCATTATCTGTTCGATCCTCTTTTCTCTCTCTCTTTTTTCCTCTTTTCCTTCCACATAAAAGCGGCTGCTGATGGAGCACAGTGGCGGAGGCGCAGGCCATCGCCCTTCGCTCCGCCCTGCCGCCGCGGTGACGTCAAAAAACCGCGCCGCACGCGCATGGGTGAGTTTTTCAACGGAGCCTCTCCCAACAACGAGCAAATACGACCCCTCCCTTATAGCATCCGCGAAAGGAGAAAAATCAACTATCAAAAGAATTTTGTCGGACAAATACGCCCCCTCCCCCACCCTCCTCCCAGCGACCAAATACGCCTCCGCTGGAATTCCCCAACGTAAGATGTGGTGTGATTATAGCCATTCATACAAACGCCTATCTTGGTATTACAGGAAGTAATGCAAAAATTCACGAGGCATTGATGCAGGGTTTTACCTTAAACTGCGACAGTAACGGTAAGGTCTACATGCCGAAAGCTAAACAATAAAGCAATGATAAACTAAAACGTTACCTCGAAGGTTTGTCCAGTTGACACGGTAACCGGCAGTAACTGACCAACTTTGAGATCATCAGGAACATAAATGCTGAAGGATGAGATAAATAACCCGAAGAATACTCAGGGCTGGATAATCACTGAGTATCACCTGAACATTTCTTTTCCAGTAAGCCCCAACGTTTCCGCATTGTCACCTTTTTTGTATTGCAGAGGAATTATTCCCATGCCAATCAAATTGGAGCGATGAATTCGCTCGAACGACTCAGCGATGACCTGGAACGAAGAAAGCGGTACAAGTACATGACTTTCAATAGCTTCTCAGGAAACTAACAGCTTTGACTCCAAGTAAATAAGGTCCCTTGGCAGCCCAGTCTCGGGATGATCCGCAGCCGTACTCCTTACCAGCAAGTATGATAACCTAAGTATAAAAACATGTGAATGCGAACTGAATACTGCGTAGATGTGCTTCGAACAAGAAGACTTACCGGGTGACCCTCTTTCATATACTTCATTGCGGCATCGTAAACATCCAGCTCTTGCTCAGAGGGAATGTGCAATGTTTTCGGCCCTACTTTTGCGACAAGCTTATTCATAAGACGAATGTTAGCGAACGTCCCGCACGCCATCACCTAGCAATTAAAGGAAAGTAAAAAATTTGATGTTCTCTGTAGGGATTTCCAAAGCTTCGTGAACACATTGATACTCTAGGAGCTTGAACGAACCACGTCGTTACCGCGGCGAGCACCGTACGTATTGAAATCCCTGGGAGAAAGTCCACGTGAGGCCAAAAATCGAGCTGCTGGCGACAGCTATAAAGAAATGGTTTTCTGGTGCAGCGCTGCTATATTAGCTCTGAGCCTTACTTTGGAGATTGATCCAGCTGGGGAGATGTGGTCTGTGGTAACAGAATCACCCAGGTTCAACAACGCGAATGCATCGGAAATGGACGACTGTTTCGGGAGGTCGACTGTCTGAAATTGTAAAAAGATATTCACAATAATAGTAAACATTCACTATTTCCTAATGTGTACAAAACCACGAAAAACATACAAAACTTGGATTTTCGGGCTACCGGACATTTGACCAGAAAATAAAGTGGCTAGAAAGACTGGGCGCTCACGAAAAATTCCCTCCTTCAGAAGCGCACTTTTCTGATGGATTTCTTATTGGATATACTACAACAGATCCTGAACGGCAAGTTTTACTGGAAATTTCCGAAGTATCCACCTTTAGGTACGACATAAGATGTTGTCGCTGTTCGGGGAGCAGCTGCCGTACTAGCCCTCCATCACGACTAAGGCGGCATTCAGACTTCGCGACGGCAGCGCTTCGGTCGCGCGTTCGACGCGATCGATGCGCATGCTTTCGACTGCATCGATCGCGTCGAACGCGCGACCGAAGCGCTGCCGTCGCGAAGTCTGAACGCTGCCTAATCGGTGAATCACAAGCCGCGCGGCTCACCAGTGGGCACGAACTGTCTGACGGCTCTTCCTGCGCGCTACCGCTTTGCCGTACGGTATAGCCACCGCTCCTCGGGGAACTACCAGGACCTCTGCCCCTGGTAGATTGCAGGGGAGCGGCAACTCTGAGTGTACTATATTCCCCTTGGTGTGTCCGACTGTTCTCCTGTCCGTCCTGGGTCGGTCGTCCCCTCACCACTGAAAGCAGCCTGCCGTAACCAAACCACATCTCACCATAACACCCATAACCATGATAACCATCATGTAACCATCAGGAACCTAGCCAGCAGTTGTCGGGCCCATTTGCCCGGGCGCTCTCAAATCCCATATATGGTCGAGGTTGTTGTGGAGATGTGAGGCACTGGGGCAATTTGAGCGCTCCGGCGCTGCAGCGGTGCAGCAGCTGAGTTCCGGGGCTACCCTTAGGTATCGGCATTGGCTGCCAGCTTGCCTTGCTAGAAAGCACTCTTTGAAGAAAATCCAGGGCTTAATCCTCCGTATGGAGGTCGCGGTTTGGTTGGGCTGATGAGTTTGTTCCCATTATTCTCATAGAGGGCGCAGCTCTCATTTTCAATGATGACCGTCTTGAAAGAAGGTCCTGCTGATACGGTCGGAGAAGATGTCCAAACGACAGATCG